TACTATAGAACCTGAAAATATACTACAAACCTATAGTAACAAAAAGAGCATAGCATTGGCGTAAAAACAGACACAGAATGGAACAATGGAACAGAATAGAGAGTCCAAAAATAAGTCCATAAATTTACAACTAACTTGGACAAGGTGCCAAAAGCACAATGAAACAAGGAGTCTCAATAAATGATATTGGAAAAATGATAATCACATGTGGAAGAATGAAATTAGACACCTACCTCACACCATATGCAAACATACACTCAAAATGTTTTAAAGATTTACATGTAAGAGCCCAAACTAAAACTACTAGAAGAAAGCACAAGAAAAAAGCACCATTACATTAGTCCAGGCAACACTTTTTTTCATATGACTCCAAATGCATAAAAGTGGAAAGAAGAGATTACATCAAACTAAAAAGAAACAATCAAAAGAGTAGAGACAACTACAGAATAAGAAAAATAGTTGCAAACTATATACCTGAAAAGGGATTAATATTCAACACATGTAAGGAACACAGCTTAATAAGAAGGAAACAACCCCATGAAAAATGGGCAGATGACCAGAACAGGTATTTCTCTAAAGACACACAAATGACCAACAGGCATACAAAAAACCAATCCTTAATATTTCTCATCATCAGGGAAATGCAAACTTAAACCACAATGAGATGTTACCTCACATTAGAACAGTAATTAGAAAAACACAAAAGATAAGTGTTGGTGAGGATGTACAAAAAGGAGAAACTTGGCACATACTTGATAGGAATACAAGTTCATATAGCCATTATGGGAAACCCTATACAAGTTCCTCAAAAAATTAAAAATGTAACTACTATATGTTCCACCAATTCCACTAAATACATATGCAAAGGAAATAAAATCAGCATATCAGAGAGATATCCTATTTCTGAGACTGGCTTCATATAAAATGTCCAAAATTCAGCTATTCCTGGGGAATAATATCTACCAAGTTATTATATGATAAGCAGTTGAACCCTTAAAACAATAACTCATTAGTACTTTAGACCAGAGGGTGAAAATACTGAAAAGATGACGTGAATAGCTTCTGAAAGAACTATCCCAAGCCAGGCATGGTGGCACATGCTTGTAATCCCAAGACTTGGGAGGCTAAGGCAGGAGGATCATTGCAAGTTTGAGACCAGCCTGGGCTACAAAGTGAGCTCAGGGCCAGCCTGAACTGAATAGCAAGACCTCGTCTCAAAAAGACACACACACACACACACACACACACACACACACACACAGAGAGAACTACCCCAGAGTTTGAATCTTCATAAGCAGACCACCGTGTTACATCAGGGCTTATGTCTTTTTGGTGACCAATGGTATGCTCCTGCAGAGCACTGTCAGAGCCAAGTTTCAGGACATAATTATGCCTGCAGTAATAAAGCGGGTAGGAGCAAACATAATACCAGCATTTTCCATGTACCACTGTGGTTAAAATAGTTTCTGCAAAAGGACTCATATAGCAGTCCATTAAACCACAAATTTTTAGAGCAGTGATCTCAGAAACTGTAATTCTTTTTCTTGGGTGGTGGTGGTACTTGGAATTGAACCTAGGGCATTGAACATGGTAGGTAAGTGCTCTACCAGTCACATCCCAGGCTATAAATTGTACAGTTTGGTTTCCTGCAACTTTGTTGATCTCAGTATGAGAAAGTTATTCTTCTATGCTATTACTTTAAAAGTTAATTCTTCTGAGTGCTTATATTTTTTAGATGCTATTTGTTACTCATCTGGTTATATAAAGCTCAAAACATTATCAAAACAGAATTACAGAGCAAAATTGTCTCTATAATTCCATCACCTGGAGATAACTACTATTAACAGCTTTTATTTCTTCCAATTTATTCTCCAGTAAGAAGCTAAAATATATGTATCAAAAGAAGGCAAGATCACAATGTATATGTGGCTATGGAAACTTCTTTTTCCTCTTGGTGTAATGGGGCCAACTATGCATGCCAGTATTAACAGATATTTCAGTCTCCTGATAGCTTTATGGTAGTCCATAGCTCTCTATTAATATGTGACTGCATTATTCCATGGTTACAGTACTTCAAAATACATGAACCACACTTCAACACAAGACAGATGTTTTCTATAGTGGATTCCTAAAAGTGAAATGTGCAACAGATAGTATAGCTATTGCCAAGCTGTTCTCAAAGAACACAAGGGTTCCTGCCTGCCCTCCTCCCTTAACCCACCTCCCCTGGGACCAATACACAATGTCATCAACACCAAAAACATGTATTTCAAATCAGGCCACTATTTTTAGCAGTAATTGATAAGCCTGACTATACGTTGGATTTATTAAGATAATTTTCAAAAATACTAATGCCTAAACTCTACCCTTAAAGTTTTGTCCTTAACATTTCACTCTGGCCATGAAAAAAGCTATTTTAACTTACATTTGTTGACTTACATTTGTTTACTGAAGTTGAGAAACTATTTACTTTTGTATAATGACCACTGATACTTCCCTCTTCTATGAACTGATTTAATGGCTTTTGCTCATTTATGAGTTGAGTTGCTAATCTTTTACTTTTTGTCTGCTATGACTTTGGGCAGCAGCCCAAAGATTGAACCCAGAGCTTTTACACTGAGCTGTATCCCTAGACCTGTTTTTATTTTTTTGTCTTTTTTTGAGACAGGGTCTTGCTATGCAGTTCAGGCTGGCCTTCAACTCATGATGATCCTCTTGCCTTAGCCTCCAGAGTGCTGGAATTACAAGTGTGCACCACCATGCCTGGCATGTTTTTATCTTTTATTTTGAGATAGGGTCTTACTAAGTTGCCCAGGTTGAGTTAAGAATTTTCCATCCTCCTATTTCAGTCTCCCAGAGTGCTGGGATTACAGGTGTGTACCACCATCCATGGCTTGGCATGACTTTTTAATTGAGAAAAATAAATTTCTTTCAAAATTTTCAGGAATTTATCCACTTTTTTATTTCTAGAGTTGATGTTGAACAGGGTGAAGTTACTGCAATCCAGGAACTAATATTTACTTTTGTCCCTGTCTCCTTGACGCCAGCCATCTACTGCACTGAACTCTCACCAGGCCTTTCATGTTACATGTCCTTGTATTTCAGTCATGGGACATTTTCCTAAATTGTTTCTTTATTGATTTACATACTTTTTTGTTTTGTTTTTCTGGAACTCCTGACTAGATATATGTTCAATGTCCTCATCCGGTTCTTTATTTGTATTTCTGTTTTTCATCTATTTTTCTGTCTTTAGCCTTATTAGGAGTGACCTTAACCTTTATCTCCTAATATGACCATCGAGTTTCTCATATGTTTTAAAGTTTTTCATCTCCAAAGTTATCATGGAAGAGTCCCCAGGGGAGGACCCATATATAATTTCACAATCTTTCCACATGTTTGATAATACTGAGCTATCTGCTCATGACTAAGAATTCAAAATTAAAATACTGATTAAAAGCTCCAAACATACAGATGAAGCTTTTCAAGTTTGTGCTTGGAGCTGGGCTGTGTTTGCAGCTACCTTGGACTTTGGACATGGGCTCCCCGTTCACCAGGGTTGAGGCTCTAGTTTGCATGCAAATATTGAATGCTCAGAACAAATCCTGGAGACATCAGTAGGACTAGGGTCCTCTTCCCTGTGCCATTTGAGTAGTTTCCCAGCCAACCTCACTGCTCCCAGAATCTGTGTTTTCCAGACCTGAAAGATCCACAGAGTTCTCCTTTCCCATATGTTTTTGGCTGTGGTGGCTTCCTTCAAATGGAGCCCATCTGCTTTCAGCCTCCAAGGAACTTTTCAAAATTTCTTGTCTTCTACGATCACAACTTGCTATTTTGCAGTGTTCTTTTACATTTTAAAAAATTGTGTTTCTCTGTATTTTAAGAAATTTGTGTGGTCCATGTACTTAATTTATTATCTTAATTTCGTCTATACAGGTGATTTTAAGAATTTGTGAAAACAGTAATTTAGCTCTTATCTGTCAAATAATTTGGACCCCTGAAGAAGAATTTAAGATTTTTTGCTGGGGGGCTGGGGATTTAGCTCAGCGGCAAA